TTACTGGAAGTTCTAGCCAATGGAATCAGACAAGAGAAGGAAATAAAAGGCATTCCAACAGGGAAAGAAGAGCTGAAATGATCTCTGTTTGTAGATGACATGATTGTATACATAGAAGACCCAATAGTATCCACAAAAAAACTTCTTGAAGTAATAAATGCATACAGTAAAATGGCAGGATAAAAAATTAACTTACAAAACCTATAGCATTTCTATATACAAACAACAAGCAGACAGAGACAGAACTGAAGAAGTAATTCCATTTACCATAGCCACAAGAAGCATAAGCTACTTAGCAATAAAACTGACCAAGGAAGTCAAAGACCTCTACAAGGAAAACTATGAAAACCTTAAAAAGGAAATTGAAAAGGACACTAAAAAGTGGAAGGATGGGACCAGCAGTTAGCATAATGGCTATGTTGCTGGATTCCCATGTAGTCAACTGCAGTTCGAGTCCTGCACCTGGTGGCTTAAACTCACACTGGGTGTGTGTATATGCGTACCCAAGATCCTAAGAAGAGATGGAGGAGAAGGGATTGCGGCATGGCCATCCCCCCTGGGGGGTGATTTCTTGCTTTCTGTCCCTCTCTCTCTTTCTGGTGAGCACACATGCTCTATAGCAAAAACCTCTTTAAAAAAAAAGAAAGTGGACAGACATCGATGTTCCTGGATTGGCAGAATCAATATACTAAAAATGGCAATCCTACCCGAATTAATCTACATGTTTAATTCGATCCCTATAAAATTACAAGAGACATTCTTCACAGATCTAGAAAAGATAATCATAGAATTTGTCTGGAACCATAAAAGATCCCATTTTGCTAAAGCCATCCTGTGCAAGAAGACTGGAGTAGGTGGCATCTCACTTCCTGACCCCAAAATATATTACAAAGCTGTGATAATCAAAACAGCATGGTATTGGCACACAAAAAACAGACATGAGGACCAATGGAAAATAGTAGAGACTCCAGAAACAAACCCCAAAATATATAGCCAACTCATCTTTGACAAAGGGCACCAGTCAATCCAGTGGGAAAAGGAAAATCTCTTTAGCAAATGGTGCTGGAAAAACTGGGCATCCACCTGCAGAAAGATGAATCTGAACCCCTATTTGTCACCATTAACAAAAATCAAATCAAAGTGGATTGAAGACCTAAACCTAAGACTGCAAACTATTAAACTACTGTGGAAAAACACTGGGGAAACTCTGGGAGTCATTGGGGTAGGCAAAGACTTCTTGAGCAAAACCCCCAAAGTACAGGCAATAATCCCCAAAATAGACAGGTGGGATTACATCAGATTAAAATGTTTCTGCACAGCAAAGGACACCATAATTAGTGTGAATTGACACCCCTCGGAATGGGAGAGAATTTTTGTTAACTGTGCCTCAGATAAGGGACTGATAACCAGAATACACAGGGAACTCAAGCAGCTTACCCAGAAGAAAAAAATTGACACAATTAAAAGATAGGAAGATGAGCTGAATAAACAACTCTCTAAGGAAGACATATGAACAGACAAAAAGGATACAAAAAATGCTCAACATCCCTCATTGTAAGGGAGATGCAGATCAAAACCACAATAAGATACAATCTAACCCCAGTCATACTGGCTAAGATTAACAAAACTAATAATGATAAGTGCTGGAGGGGATGTGGTGAGAGGGGGACACTCCTCCACTGCTGGTGGGGCTGTAAATTGGGCCAGCCAATGTGGACAGCGGAGAACAATATGGAGGTTCCTCAAAGACCTTTAAAAAGAACTACCATATGATCCAGCAATTCCACTCCTGGGTATCTACCCAACGGACAGGAGAGCTCTCAGTCGGAAAAGCGCTTGCACAACTATTTTCACTGCAGCATTATTCACAATTGTAAGATAAGGAACTAACCCAAATGTCCACAAACAGATGAATGGATCGAAAAATTATGGCACATGTACTCCATGGAATACTATTCAGCCATTAAAAAAACAAAAACAAAAACAAAAACTCAAGGCCCTGGAATTTGATAGAAAGTGGATGAATATGGAAGACTTGTTGCTGAGTAAAGCAAGCCAGGCTATGAAAGAAACATTGTATGTCTCCACTTAACATGTACTGACTCTCCACATTCTATGGTAGAGACTGAAAGACTGGAGAACATAAAAGCATTAAAAATTGTAATGGACACTAGAGCCAAAGAGGGTGTGAGAGGGGAAGAGCAAAGGAAAGGAAATTTGGGGGGCAAATGGAGAGAGGGAAGATACTTGTGGGACACAGATAAGGTTTCTCATCTGTTGATGAGGATGTGTATAATAGTTTCAACTGGGCTGGACTGAGGTGCATATCATGCTGGGTAGAGTCCCTTCACAATCTAAATGATGTATAGCGATTTAACGTACGAATAATAATTTAACAATTAATTTAAAAGCGACCAAAAAAAGTAATTCATGTTGCTAATGGAAAACTTAGACGACACCAACAAATGGAAAAAGAGGGAATACTCATATTCCTACCGTTTAGAGATAAATGCTGCTGACATCTGAAGCGTTTTCTGTGTGCGAGCTGCTTTGTTTTATGTATAGCCGTGCTTCTCCTGGCTCTTCAGGTTAATGCCCTACTTTGACCAAAACTTGGATCGTACCAGCCTATGTTCACGTTCCCTGTGTCCCCGGAAGTACGCTATTTTACCTTCCAGTGTCTTGGTTTCCTTACCTGTAAAATGTGAATGGTATCAATACCTACCTCACTGGGGGGCGGTGAGGATTAAATCTGCAAAGTGAAACTGGTAAGAGCTCAAAAAGAGTTTACCATTATAATTAATATTAGTATTTAAAGCTGTATTTCTTTAATGTGGGAGAGACAGAGAAAGGCACCCCCAACAAGGCGTTTATGCTGTGCTCTACCCTGGCCTCAGCTGGCCCAGGTAACGTGCGTGCACACGCCCCGTGTGCTCAGGGAGGTCCCAGGGCACATGCCCTGGGACGTGACTGCCACTTCACTGTCTGGCCAGCTGTTACCGTCATCATTATCGAGTGCTTCCCCCGTTCCAGGCTGCATTCCTAACGCACCCCTGCCCTAACTCACGCGTCTTCACAACGGCCCTAGAAGGCACGATAATAACACAGCAACCTAAGGAGCTACCATGGTGTCCAAAGGGAACGGAGGGCAAAGCTGCTCCCAGCTCTCTCCGGGTTACAAGAGCCCCATGGGCCCACCAGGTAGGACACACACTGTGAGTCAGTGCAGCTGGTGTTCACCGAGCACGTCCCTGCGGCAGGCCCAGTGCGTGGTGTCTGAAGATGCAGACCTTCCTCCCACCATGCCGATGTCCATAACCTGACCTGTGTAGCCCCATGGATCAATTAGGGAAGACAACCTACGTCCTGTGCTCGTGATCGGTTGTGCGCCAGTGCAAGTCGGAAGCGGCCGGGAGCTGTGGCTGGTTTTGCGTTGTTTATCTAGCCATGGCTGCTTCTCCAGGTGGGCAAGGATGGCTCCAGTGGTGAAAGAAATAGGAAGGCACACGCAGAGGGACATCAAGCCCAGGGGTGGTCAGGGATGTTGAATTTTCTTTGTTTTTTTAAAAGAATTATTTAATTTTCATTTATTTATTTTAAAAATTTGAGCAGAGAGAGATACACACAGAGAGAGGGAACGTGAGAAAGCAAGCCACCAGGTCTGGGACTCGAACCCTGGTCGCCCATATGGGAGAGTCCAGTGCCTTAACCACCACGCCACCTGCTGATCCCCCCAAGGGATGTTGAACTTTCACAGCTGCACAGGGATTATTATGACAAACACCCTGCGGGACCAACAGGAAAAGAGACTGTGATTGCTAGACAGAAAATCTCTAACCCATTTTCACATTTTAAAATTATTAACGCCACAAAAGAAATAATAACAAAAATAAGACCCTCTGCTGACAGTTATTGAGCTTACTTTGGGTCAGCTCTGTGCTAAGAGCATTCTTTTTTCTTTTGAGAGAGATTTTCGCTATGGGGTGTGAGTGCTCATGAGACAGAAGTGAGAAATCATCCCCCGGGGGGATGGCCGTGCCGCTCTCCCTCCTCCATGCTCTTCTGAGGATTTTGGGCTGACATGCACACATGCCCGGCTTGAGTTTCAAGTCGCCAGGTCTGGGACTTGAAGAACTTTTTGTATATAAGAGTTCTGCAAAAAGTTAATAAAAAAAATGCCTATTATGAAAAAAACTAGGCAAGATTTCAAAATTTTTTTGCACTGAAATAAGCTAGTTCTTTAATTCTACTTTTTCAGAAATGTTATGAAGTCCTTCCTCTTTTACATAAAGTATTTAATCTTTTTTATAAGACCAATTTATATTTTATTTATTTATTTTAAAAGATTTCAGAATAGCAGTTGGTGTAATGG